AAGATCCATATCAACCTTCTCAACACATTTTTGTCCAAACAAATCCTTAGTATATTTTTTTTAAAATAAAAATATGCATAATTTTACTCATGTTATTATATTTTTTGCTTAATGTAATTATTTTTTAAAATTATTTTTTTCATGCACTCCCTGATTCTGGATCCTAGCTCCGCCATTGTCAACAATCATGGAAATCTTTATGTAGCTAATCAAGCATATTTTTGGAAGACTACAACTGATTGGCCATCACATGAGGATCCAACTTTAAGTGAATTAAAAGAATTTTTATGTGAAATGAATAATTTCTCAGTAATAGATCCTAATCTCAGATGCACCTTACTTGGGCCTATCCCTCATCCTTAATGATCCATCACCAGTTGTCCAATACAAATTCCTAGATTGGGTCACAAGTCTTGCTGTTCAAACAGGATACTTTACATGGATGGAATCTTCTAGACAGTCAGGACCCATATGTGATAGAGACTCAAACTTACTAGTTGTTAGAGCTAAAGATACACCTAGCTTTAGACTCTCTCAACATATAGAAGAAGACTTTGATGAAGAACAGCTCATTCTTGAAACTCCCACTGTCAGGTGGCACTAAAGGAAATAAAAGACATGGTTCAACTTGTTTATTAAATCGAGAGTGCATTCACAGGGGCTTGCGTTAATTTGCTTTGTTTAAGTCATATCTCCTTTTTTGTAGATTCAAGTTTGTCTTGTAATAAGCTTTGTCAAAAGTTACTTTTGACTTTTAGACAAAGTTATTTGCTTTTGTCTTATCTTTATATAAATTTGTCAAAAGTGTTTTTAACTTTTAGAGTGAGCCCATGTAGTTATGCTTAGAGATACGTAAGCTTAAGTGATAAGGGGTTGAGGATTCTAAAGTAGCTTGAGTTTGTCCAGAAGAGGCGTTGAAGGGCCTTAATTATATTAATATACCCTGAATAATTCCAGCTCAAGGATCTTTGGGACTATTTGCATGAGTCTCGCCCCTTTAGTATCAGATTGCATTATTTTTATAAGTTGAGAGAATAATTTGCATAATAAATGAGTTTAAGACTTATAATACTATTTGATTTAAAGTTTAGGAGAGTAATTTGCTCAGTTACCTTAATTAAAATTATCATTAAACTTTTTAATAAAAAAATTATCTTTTAAAATAAACATCATTAAGAAAAAAAAGGAAAAACAAGGTCTATTCATAAATGAGACTTACTCTATTTATAATAATCAACAAGGTCTATCTATAAACTTTGCTAGGCATAATAATCAACGAAATAAACTTCCCGTAATGGCTTGGGAATTAAAAAAAAATGCAATAAATAATATTAATTTGTGAAAAAATGTTAATAAAAATTAAAATTCAATGATAAGCTACTTGATTATATTTAATAAACTTTTTTTAGTGGATGCATTAATTTCAAATTTTTACCTATTAGAGAGATTTTTTATTTTTGGTGTGAAGCTATGAATTAGTGCCCTTCTTTATATATACGTACACACATACGTACATAAACCCATCAGCTTTTATTAATATTTTCATCATATATCCTTTTGTTCCTCTGATCGGGAGTTGCCGCAGAGGCAGAAAAAGAGTGAAACCCTTGTGTGCCTTCTCTGCCTTCTTTTCTTGTTCATCACCGGCACCTTCTCTGCCTTCTTTCTTGCTCATCGTCGACGGCCTTGAGAGTGCCAGAGTTGCTTTCTTCAATCCTTGCCCGAACAGTGGAGGGGCGTGCGTCTGTTTGCTCTGCTTTTATATTCTCTGCTTTGCATCGTCTCCTTCATTCTTGTTCCTCTGTTTATTGCCTTTGCTGGTGTCGTGGGTGTGCCGAAAATCTTCTCTCCTCTTCTTTGCCGTCGTCGACCGTGGTTGGGTGGAGTTCGTCTCTTCCCCTTTTTTGTGTTTGACATTCTACTCTTCTCTCTGTTTCTTTATCACTGTTCTGGTATAAGGAGCTTCTTCCCTTCTTGTTTAAATTTTTAACCTGTGATTTGTGTGTTAGAATTTGTGATGCTGCTAATTCTTGCTACAATATATGTTTATGAATTCTAATGCTTGATATTTTCCACTGTTGAGCAATGATTGCTTCCGAATTTGGATGCGTCGATATTAGAAAGAAACTATGCTTAGTTTGGTTTCCTCAAAAATATAACTTTGGCAAAAATATAGTCCTTGTTGACTGTGATGTTTGTCTGATGTTTGCTGTACTAAAAAAATTTTGAAGTGGATTAGAAAATATGGGTGTTGGATGTGCAACGATTTAGAGGATGAAATTGGGTTAAAGCCTGGTCTTAAGAGAAGGGGATTGTCAAAAGAAGCTTCAAACACTAAACTCAATAATCGTAAATCTCCTTCCAACTTGAAGTTGAGCAAAGTTTGCATTTGAAGATTAAATCTTAAACAACATTTTGTGTTCCACTTTAAATAGTTCATATTGGAAATTGTGACTTTATGGTAGCATTGGTATAGGAAAAACTAAATTTAGTTGGGTATAGTACTAGCAAGATTCTTGATTGAGTTATGGATTGGATTGTGCTGTTGAAAGATGAAAATGATGATTTTATATTTTATATATTTAGCTTGGTTCTGGATTGTTTTGATGGATTGCTAGAGTGATATAAGGTGAGGGTTCACTATTTAACGGATTTTCTTTCGCTTCATAATTTGTTGCAAGACTTGTGACCTGGTTGGTAATATCAAGATTGAATTTTTTGTTTGCTTGTTTGTTTGTTTTTTTTTTTTTTGGGATTGTTGAGTACTAGTCTCAAGTAATTTAAAGAGTCTAGGTTTGTATGTAGTTAAAGTGTATGTAAAAATGACAATATTGTTATATTGGGTATTAGGGAATTAAGGAGCGGCCCATATTTCAAAAGTGGCTAATTAGAAGTAAATGATATATATAATTGGTAATGCATCAGGTAAGTGAATAATATCCCAATCAATTTATATATTATTGAATTTTCTTTTACCAAAAATATTATTTTCAACAATTTGCAGTTATTAGTATATATTTCTTTGGCATTGAATACTTTTTTCAGTTAAGTTACTTTAATTCTTGAAGTTATGACATATATTTATAATATTGATGAAGATGCTTTTACAAGTTCTAGTACTCTTTAATGGGTAAAAAAAAATGTGGAAATTAGTGAGAGAGTTTATGAAACATTAGTTGTGAAGTTTTATATTTGGAAGGATTGGTGATTTAAATGATTCATGCGAGTTTGTTATTGAGAATAGAAAAGTATATTTTAATAAATGATTATTTTCTCGCATGTTTAAAAATTAGTTTTGAGAGGACTATATGTAGAACATTGGTTGCTAATGGTAGTTTTGTTAGTCCTTGGCGCATCATGGTTATGATTAGTTAATTTGATTTTCATGAGCATCACACTCACGTTTGTTATTCATGGGTCTTATACCTACATTCAATTTCATGGTTTTGAGCCGCGTTTGATTAGTATTACTCCCGTGGAGTGTGTATCCATATTTGTTTTCGTGGCATAGGCTGTATTTAGTTATTTACCCTCATGAATTGTATATCCACTTTTATTTTTGTGACGTAAGTTATATTTGATTATTTACTCTTGTGGATTGTGTCTATGTTTGTTATCTGTTTTGCAAAGTCTTCGAAGTATTAGCTTTTAATTGATTTTGAATGTACACTTCATTGGTTTTAATTATTAAATGTTATTTTTATTCATTTGCTTAATCTATCTTATTTCACAAGATTAAGGATTAAGTTCGTTTTGCTGTTGTAAATTTAATGATTTAGTACTGTTGAAGCTATATAGAATCTTTCAATCTCCAAGTTAGTGGTTATAGTATATTGATTGCTCTCATTTTAATTTGCATATAATTACTTGAATTTACTCATCTTGATTCTTTTAACTTTATTATTAGAATGTTATTCATTGAAAAAATTTTACTTTAGTTTCAAATAATACATTGCCGGCCATGCACCTTTAGTTGAACATTGTGGGGTTTATTGCCAGTTGGAAGTTGAACTGCTATTATGGTTATTCCTTATTTGTTGTAAAATCTAAATTTATTTACTATATTTTGTAAATTAAGTTCTAAAGTCTTCATATAGACCATAAGCATGATCCTTACCTTATTGGGTGGTGTCGTAGGACTGTTGACATGGAGTGGGGCTCCTCCTTGATTAAATGAGTTGACGTTGTTGTTATATATGTTTTTCTTTTCTTGAAGGTTCTATTTATAGTGAATATTTTGCTGAAATTTTTACGAGAAATTTGTGACTAAAATAATAGTAGTAATAATATTGAAAGAATTCTGTTCTATGGGATAAATGGGTTTGTGGTTAAAAAGCAGATTGTTTTTTTTTTTTTTTTTGATCAGTTGAAGGTTTAAGGGATGTGAGTTTTTATGCATATTTCATGCTAGTCACACCTTTATTTTTTTTGGACGTGACACTTCCTTCATGTGATTGATGGAGCAGCACTTTTTTTTGCTGTGGTGTACCTTCAAAAATCACTAAAAGTTTAAGCCTCTAGAGGTGACAAAAATAATCTCTATCACTAAACCTCATCTCTGTATGTGTCATTTTCATCAGAATTGGTTTTTGAAATTTGATTAAGATAAATTAATGAAAAAAATTAATCATTTGATTCTTATAATTTTAATTCAATTATAATTTAGTTTTTAAATTTTGATTTATTGTAATTCAGTCTTTATAGTTTTGATTTAGTTGTAATTTAATGTTTGAATTTTGACTCACTGCAATTTAGTTCTTATAGTTTTGCACTCTCTTATTTAAATTGAGCTATTTGCCAAACAACAAATGAAGTTAACTAAAGTAAATATATAAAACTATCGTTAAAAAAGTGCAGAGCGTAAAAATTAAAATATTAATCTACTTCATGTTTTATCAACAACTATGGATTAATATCATGCAATGCAACATAAATGATGAATAACACAACAGGAGCTAATAACTAGTAAATGTAAAAAAAAAAAAAAAAAGAAAGGAAGAAAACATTGAACGCAAATTTTATTAGAACTTTGAGACATTGAGCGTTGAATACATTAATCAAGAAAAAACATGGGCATGCTCATGGCACACTTCCGCCAAGCAAGCAAGACAAAGTATTTATTATTCTTCTTTTGTAAGAAGTATTAATTAAATTTGATTCCATATTTGGGTGACTTATTAGGGTTGAACAAACCAAAGTGCCTCTCAATTTCGTCACCATCCTTATTGTTTTCATCAAACATGGCAAACAAGTAAGTCTCAATGAGCCCATTGCGCTTTGGAGTCCCTCGTTGGACGTGATTAATCAAATTTTGATAGTAAGTGCCTGCATTATCGACACTAGCTCCTTTACCTCCATATGAAGGCCACCCACTTTCAGACACAACGACCTGCAAATTTGGTGCTCCAATCTTCTCAAGAGCATAGTATATAGAATCAAGCATTGCATCAAATAGGTTTTGATACCCATTATTTGTTGCTTGTTGTCTGAACAACGCAAAGTCAAGAGGAATGAATCCATTTGTGTCTTCTTTATAGGCAAAATAGGGATACACATTAGCAAGAAGTGGTGCTCTATTGGTGACAAGGAAGTTAATAATGGGCTGTATATATTCAGTGTCTTTGAACTTGCCTTTATTGGGTGGGGAAGTGTCCTCAAGTCGATCCATTTTTATTGCTGTAGAGACCTTAACTTTGCCTTGTAGATTTGCTGCAGAAATTGCCTTCTGAATGTTCTGCATTCCAGGGAGAATATAACTTGCTTCGTTGTCATGGGGACCAATTTCATTTCCAACAGCAATGTACTTGATGTTAACATCTGGGTACGATGCTACAAATTTTCTAACCCAAGCGTTGGCATTTGCAGGATTAGTAAGTGAAGGAAGGGTTTCCTTAGCCACATCAAGCAACACTTCTATGTTTGAACCTCTAAGGGCTTGAAGGGCATATTCATCTGGATAGTATATGCGCATCCTACCAATGCCATTGGACTTGTATAAATCTATCACTTCTCGCCTTCTTGGTAGATTATTTCCATACACGCCATAACACACTCCTATGGAGTTCACGGCTGCATATTATGTAACCAATTAAGCTAGTGGCAATTTTTCTCAAACTGTGAAGGGTCATAAGAATAAAAAGTGCTAATGAATACAGATTTACTATTCAAATTGTCATATATACTCGCAATATATGGGATATATTGAATATGCGTGAGGACTTTATAAAAAAAAAAAGTACAACAATCAATGAAAATGTCAATATTCCATCTATTATTCTTTTATATTAATGCCTTAACTGCTATTGAATGTCATGTAAGAAAAATATTTAGCCAAAACTAATAAATAAAACTGAATATAACTAATGTCATCTGTACCCTTTCAGACCAAAATCAACGCCACTGACACCTTTAAGCGAAGTACATATAAGAAAGTAGATGCATGATATTGGCTGTCAATAAGGAACAATACAAAGATAACTATAGTGACTATAGTGTGACTAAACATAATTGTTTTAGTGCACCAGAAAGAGTTTTCTAAAAATAATTATGTAGGCATCATCAATATATAAATGGATGGATAGAGACATATAGAGGAATATATTGAGAGGTGGAGATAGAGGGGGAGAGAGAAAGAGATAGAGAGAGAGACCTGTAAGTTGTAGTGCAATGGACAATAGCATCACAAGAAGCAGCATTATGGAGGACATGATGGTATAATTGCTTAACTTTCGTATTCCTTAGAAAGCTATTAACGGGATTTAGAAGACTACTTTGTGCACATCGAGGCTAGTCATAGAACGTAACCAGCATTTATATAGCGAAGAGTTTGGTAGGTTCCACTTCAATTAATGACGAAGACATTATTAATCCATCAATCACTCAAAAGAAAAATGCGTGCCATTAATTTCAAATTGAATTCCCTTGCAAATAAGTTTATGAATTGATTGTTTGTTCTGCAACTAGCTAGGCTGCTTCAAGGAGGAATCGTTCCAAGTCAGTGCTCAGTGGAAACTTTCTTTGTTTTCTTCCTCCCAAGTTGCGTGTGTAATAAACTAAAATAGATTGTTGGATGTTCAAGATGCAAGGTATTGAAATTTGCTATACGGATTCATTGTTTTGTAGTCAAACTAGGGGCTTAGTTGTGGTTGAATTGATAGACATTAAATTAATGTATTTTTAATTATATATGAACTATTTTAAGTGACAAATATAAAAAATACTTTCTTTGTTCAGAATTATTAGACACCTTTAATGAATTTACACCCATCAATAAGTTAGTTAATGACATTTAAAATTGCACATTCTTTTTCATGTTTACTCTTATTTAGTATAATGTTTCAATTAGAAAACATTATTAATTACAATCCCTAATTAAGGGCATTTTTAGAAAATATCATTAATTACATCTTAAAAACTATAAAATGTCTTATATTTCTTAACATGATATTTTAGAAAAAAGTATCTTATAATATTAGAGGGGGGATTAATAAAAATTGATTTTGAATGAAATAGCAACAATAAATTAAATGAAAATAAAATAATTATTAAGATGTGAGATATTATTATTTATATACTTGTTTTCTATTTACGTACACATTCTTGTTCATTTACATGTATTGGTTTCCTTCTAAAGTCTTTTTAGATATAATAATGTATAAATCATAAGCTATTCAACTAGTTGAACTATTGGTTGTCTTGATGTCAACTGATGATCTTTTAGGGCATATATGTAATAAAAAAAATAATTTTAAAATTTCAACTAGTCATTTCACATGTGCTTGTGAGACAAGTCATCTTCTATCTTTGAACTTGTCATTTAACACAAGTTTCTTAGAAGAACAATCAATTTATGAACTTTATAATTAATTCAAGGCATATAATATAAATTTTCTTTGGAGTGATTGACAGTGCTAAAATTATTTGATATGTTAGTTAATTGGAGTGGTACCTTCCAAATTTGAAGTTTCATAACAGTTTCACTAGGGATGACCAAGTTAATTTTCAGGAAAGATATACGGTTCTTCTCTCTGTAAAATCAAAAGAGATAGATACACTACATGTAAACCTATTCTAAAAAAGTTCTCGTAAATGAAAACTTTCAAATAGATATTATTTGTCCCAAAGGAACAAGTCCTAATTTAGTGATAATTTATCAATGTCTAAAATTTGTTGGTGGTAATGGGTTCTTAATTTTTTTTAATGATATTATTAGATATATAAGAATTAATATAATAAGAGCAAAAGAGAATTTTAGAGAGAGAAAAATTAAAGTATATAATATTTTCATCAGTTCACTTCGGGTCCTGCAGAAAGCTTTTATATGACCTTACGCATGTCGGTAAAACATAACCCAATTGCAAATGATCTTGAGAGCTGTATAGTCAATAATCATGAAATATCGGATGCAAATCATCTGTCAATTACAAAAATGTCGTAAATCTTTAAAGATCACTTGGAAATTTCAGAAGCTCGCTTACAAATGTCTTGAAAGATCAATTTCAAGTCAGTTCTAAATTATGGGGTCGGTTCAAGTGCCTAAGAAGTTAACCGATACTTTAGCTCTAAAGTGATCTCTAAATGTCATTTTCCCTTTCAATTATTGACCAAGACTTTTAATTAGCTCTGTCAAATATCAATACAGCTCAAAGGAAATCTATACCATTTACTTTGAGATCCACTGCAAAGTTTACAGATTGATTGTTCTTCGGCAAGTTGGCCACGGAATAGACAAATTCCTAGTTGTTAGATGTAGACACTATACATCTCAATTTAAAGTCAATGGTGGGGCTTACTTTGTCTTCTTCTTTTACAAGTTGGATGTATAACTAAAATGACTTCTTGGATGCATTCTGAGCAAACGTGATCAAGACATGCTATGAGATTTTTTGTGGATATTTTGATCTCCGGAAAACTAAAAATAATTGAGTTGTACAGACTTCTAATTAAACCCCATTCACCCAAAAAGTCGTCACACACACCCTCGGGATAAAAAAACAAAAGGAGTCATCTATTGACTTTGAATGTGACATTAGATGTGTTTTTAACAACGTTCATGTTTCCTTCACATAACCTTCTTGTCAAGAGTATTTTAACTTTGAATTTTTTTCAAGAATATGCATGATATATCATATAGATTGCTTAGGTGAAACTTGAACAATTTAAATTTTATTATTTTTAATCATAATAAAAATCATCATCTTAATGAACTAAATGTAGGACATGATGGTATAATTGCTTAACTTTCGTATTCCTTAGAAAGTTATTAACGGGATTTAGAAGAATACTTTGTGCACATCGAGGCTAGTCATAGAACGCAACCAGCATTTATATGGCAAAGAGTTTGGTAGGAAAAATACGTGCCATTAATTTCAAATTGAATTCCCTTGCAAATAAGTTTATGAATCGATTGTTTGTTCTGCAACTAGCTAGGCTGCTTCAAGGAGGAATCGTCCCAAGTCAGTGCTCAGTGGAGACTTTCTTTGTTTTCTTCCTCCCAAGTTGCGTGTGTAATAAACTAAATGTCATTTTTTCCTTTCAATTATTGACCAAGACTTCTAATTAGCTCTGTCAAATATCAATATAGCTCAAAGGAAATCTATACCATTTACTTTGAGATCCACTGCAAAGTTTACAGATTGATTGTTCTTCGGCAAGTTGGCCACGGAATGGACAAATTCCTAGTTGTTAGATGTAGACACTAGACATCTCAATTTAAAGTCAATGGTCTTCTTCTTTCACAAGTTGGGTGTATAACTAAAAAGGACTTCTTGGATGCATTCTGAGCAAACGTGATCAAGAGATGCTATGAAATTTTTTGTGGATATTTTGATCTCCGACAAACTAAAAATAATTGAGTTGTGCAGACTTCTAATTAAACCCCATTCACCCAAAAAGTCGTCACACACACCCTCGGGATAAAAAAAAAAAGGAGTCATCTATTGACTTTGAATGTGACATTAGATGTGTTTTTAACAACGTTCATGTTTCCTTCACATAACCTTCTTGTCAAGAGTATTTTAACTTTGAATTTTTTTTCAAGAATATGCATGATATATCATATAGATTGCTTAGGTGAAACTTGAACAATTTAAATTTTATTATTTTTAATCATAATAAAAATCATCATCTTAATTAACTAAATATAAGAAACTAAGAACACTATTTTCATGACCCAAAATCTGAGTTGTGACTGGCACATAGGCTCAGCTAATTTATTCCCTCTTAGCCTAGCAAGTCTTAACTAGGGATACATCCCACACAAAAGTGTCCAATAATATAAAATTTTTTAATCCAAGTTTAAACCATTCTTACTAGATTGAAGTGCTAAAAAATGATAAATCAAATTGAAAAAAAGCTTTATATGAAACTTTATATGAAACGCTAACTATTTATCTAACATTACACCTTGACTCAAAACAGTACCATAGTATTCACAACATCACAGAATCCCATAACTATCCAATTGTTTGCAGTTTACATCATCCGGCTAGGAATGATATTTCATCATAAAAAGTTTTAACAAGAGCCTCATCTGAAAAAAAAAATATTAAGAGAGGAGTGAGTTTACCACTAACTCAGTAAATATATAAATAACAAAGTGTGTAGAAGGGAACCAAAGGTGCACTAGAGTTTTTCGCAAACAATTTTTTTATTGCACTATAAAATAAAATAATGCCACTATCTTCAATTATTCATATTTTAAATTTTGGAGAAGGATAAGGCAATTTTCAATTCTTCATCAATTAACCAAATCGACAATCATGCAATGGTAATTAAATATACAATCAAAACATTCCTTCAATTAACACTAATCTTGGTGGAGAATAACTATCCCACCCACCTATTATATAACATATCATATATAGCTCATTAATTCATGGGAATTAATAACTGTCTCATCTAATACAATATCTCATGTATTACTCTTTATAATCCATAGGGATGAATAACCATCCCACCTATAATATAGTAAATCTACAAGTGAGAAATAACCATCCCACCAATACGATATGTATACAATATATTACATGTCACATAAATATATGGTAAGGAATAACTGTCCCACCTAAAAATAAATATATAAATATAAGATAAAATGATGATTGACAAATTAAAAGAATGTAAAATTAATTAAAACAAAAATAAGAAAAATTGAAATAAATGTTCTACTATGGAAAATAAAACAATTTATTGTATTAAAAATAAACTAATTTAATTTTTTTAAAAACACCAAGTTGAAATTAAAATTAATTACAAATAGAAGGAAAAAGGAAGAATATAATAATATTTTAGAAGTAGTAGCACTAATATAAATAGTCACCATCATTCTTTCAATCATACAATCATCACATCAATTTTAGATAAATAAACACATCTTATCAATTGTCGAAATAAAATCTAAACTAGAATAATAATTAAAACTAAATTTTAACTCAAAAGCTTATATGATCTAAGAATCACAATAAAGAGAAGAAATAAGTTTTAGATTTGCTTCCCATACAAATACACAAGAACAAGATCAAAATTTGATGAGACTAGAGAGGACAAATACATGTAAAAAAAAAACTACCACCTTGCTATTTATACACTCATACACTCACACGTTGGGATCAATAGTAGAGATTTCTTATTTTTCCTCTGACTTGGCACCAACTAAGGAGACTCACTTGCGTCACCTTACAGAAGACATCATGATTATATTTAAAACTTGAAGATGTAGTTCACAATATAATATTGAAGTCAAACAATCCTTCAAAATCTCTTGGAAGGTAAAAGAACCACATTAGGAATAAGGGAATGATGTGACGGG